TCTCAGTAACTTTTCAAAGTTCTGGATAGGAGTAAAGGCATTATAAAGAGGAGGAGGCCAAATGCCATGAGAACAGCCACAAGACAAAGCCAACCTACATTCATACTACCTGCCATAAATACCTAGTTCTTCAGTTAAAAGAGCTTTCTGCGAACAAAAATGTGCAGGGCCAATGGATCAAGAAACCAGCTAAAAGGAGAGATTGTGTGGTGGTGACAGCATGGAGCAGCCCTCCTTCCATTCTGTCACAGAAGTCAAAATTCTCTTCACAGATTGGATTTTCTATATTTTGTCACCACAATAATTAGAACTAAGAACACTTAATGAAGGTTACATTAACATAAGTGCTGTCACTCATACTGAGGAATGAATATGAAGCAGAGAAATATTACAAGCATAGTAGAAATATGATATTCCAGGAAAACAGCAAGGCAATCTGAAACTTTCTGTCCTATAGAAAGAGTATCATTACACAACTAAGCTTAAAAACTAAGAACACTGTCAACTTCCTTCCTTCCTGATAGCTATGAGGACAGACAATTTTCATCATGTTTATGGTGCAGTGTGGAAGAGTTAAAAGCTTTTCTCTGTGTTCCCAGGCCTGACTGAGGCCCCATGATTGCTATTTTAAAAACAAGTAACGTGAGGCATACAGTAGTTATGAAAAATCATGTAACATCTAATTTGACTTTTCAGTGATGGATGGAAGAAAAACACTTGCAATGAAGCAGTCAAATAGTTACTTTTATTTGACTTTTTAAAAAGCTCCCCACATACCGGCTTTATAATCCCCAACGTCCCAAATTATTTGATAAATTCTTCAGTGGAACTATAACATAGTTTTGCACTGTAAGTAGGTAAAGGATATTTTCCATGGCAATTTAAAAAAAGAGAAAATCTTGGAGCTATTTTTTCCAGCTCCTTAGATTGCAGAAGTTGCCAGAGTGAAAAACTGTGGATTCCTAGCTCATATTGAAGTTTCCTCACATGATCAGGGCCAGCATGATGACTCCTACGAGTGGAAAATGCAATTCAGTCTGAACATAAATCAAAGTCCCAGCAGTGTTGTCTCAAAAGCCCTCACAGACTTAAAAAAAATCCATGCAGAAAACAAACAGAAATGACATCCACTTGCCACAGAACCACACTAAACACTGGGAAATGAATGCTAAAGCTGCAATAAATTTAGGGCAAAAGATATTTAAGCTGAGCAAATTCAGCAGCAGATGACCAAAGCAGTCACCTCAGCATGATAAAAACAAAATTTAAACACATACATATGTCCATGGAATGAATTTTGTTACATTTTGATCAGATTTTTAAAATTTAACTGTCTTTTCTAATCTTCAATGAAATACTGTACCTAACTTTACTCTCATGTATAAAAATAACATAATTCAGTCCATGGTTTATTCAGCACGATATGCAAGCCTGGTAGCAGCTAGCACCTGACTTGATTCTCTCACCATAACCCAGGGGGGAAAAAATTCAGGCTTTGTTTTTAGCATCTTTCTCCGGCTTGGAAGAAAGCAAACAAGCCGGAGTCCAGCTACTGCCAAATTCACACACAATGCTGCAAGATGAAGTAAGGGTTCTCATAGATCCCTAGTTTATCAAGATGCTCAGAACAGGCCAGACATCCCTCCTATGTTTTAAAATGCTGTTATGAAGTATAAATTGACCTGCCTTAGTGGTCAAGTCCCCACTATTCTTAAAGAAACATGCAACAAACCACCAGACTTGACTGAAGGTTTTTGTTTTCGTAATTTAAAAAACAATTGCAATTAGTGATTCCAGCCACCTTTGGCTAATTCAGTCTTGTTTGATTCATATTTAAGGAAGAACATGATTCCGTCTTTTCATCTAACTGAATCCATCCTGGATTCAGGATTATCCTATCAAAGTGTGGTAGAATGTTAAGAAACCAGTTGCCTCCCCCACTCCCCGCATTAGCAAAATGCCTGCCATGACAAGTTGGATGAGGGTGGCAATAGTTTCACAATGAATCTCTAGGTGGGTACAGTGTTTCTCTGTGTAGAGTCTGACTGTGTCTCCACAGAACTGTTTTAAGGAGGGTTGGGTTACCTGGTAGTAGGTGGAAAACAAGAATTTTTGGTGTAGCCGTGTTCCCAGGAACCTAAAAGCTTTACTAGCTTACCTGATTAACAATTCTGGAGAACTAGAAAGTTTTCAAATTATTTTGTTTATTTTAGTAGCCAAACAAAATGTATCAGCATATACTTTTTAGGTAAAGGTAAAGAAGGCTTTGGAGATTTTTCTTAAGGCTAACATGACCATCTTTGCCTTTTTCTGCATAATAACTGGTAGCAATGACATATTTTGAAAACTGCATGGGATCTTTGAAATGTTCTACAATCTTGGAATAATTTTACCACACAATTGTGTACGTATATTAAAAAGTCCCCAACCCATCAATAAATTGTGCTAATGAAAACGGTTACACACAATCATTCCTCCAGTAACACAAATCTGTGGAAAGACACACTGGACTATTCCCCCCTTTTTCTTTAAAAAAATATTGCTGCCAATAACTAGTTATTACTGCTATAATTAATGCCGAATGTTATGTGCTCTGTATTAGATAATATTCTTGAATCCCAGTTCTGGAAGAAATGTAGACTATAAGTAAAATGAGCACATTAAGGAATATATTCCTTAAATATGTTTTGTGCTGAAATGGGGGTAACTGGGGAGCAAGGGGCTCTAAAATCTCTGCCTCTGTTATGCTCATAAATGGAATCATCTTCCTGCCTAATTCACCAGTAACTGGAGCTTTCTGCCAAGTTGGATGTAAAGGGCAAATAGTCCCAAACCACCTCAGTCCTCTACAAACAGAAGGTGCGTGATGGCAGTGAATTGTCTCAGTTCTGCTCAGCCCTGCCCCCACATCAGGTCTCTGCAAAACAGATTACAATCCAAGGGTTAAATCATGGCAAATCTCATGTCCAGATTGGCCCTTAGTTACTCTCAAGCATAAAGGAAACAGTTGCACACAATCCGGGCTTTTCCAGATGGGGAAAATGTTCCACCTACATCTTTTTCTTGGTTGTCCCGTTAGGACTGCAGGACTTACTGGAATAAAGATCCAAACTATATTCTTAGTCTCAGAAAACTGATTGTTTCCTAAAACACCCCAAAATCTAGACATCCTTTAAAAATATGCAAAAAGAGCAATTCTTTATCAAAACTTTTCTTCTAGGACTAGTTTATTATGTTGTTTCCTGTGCCAATTGATTGCAATTTGAAAGGTTTTATCTCAGAAGCTGACCACAGAAATACATGGGCCACAGCACTGTGCTCCACTGCCTGAAACAACCTGGAACAAAAATAAACCATGCCTTCAAGAGGCATCTGGAGATGAAACCCAAAATAATGCAAAATCACAGTTTTTTTATTGGAAACGCTGAAACAAACCTTAACTATTTCGGAATGTAGGCAAACGTTTCATCTGGCCAAGCCTTTTGCTTCTGCTTACAGACCAAAATATAGCCCTTCACCGTTTTTAAACACATTAATGACTCCAGACACTGGTCTGATTTCTGCACTGCCTCCTTGATTCATCTGGATATTGATAGCATCTCACACCAGATCTTCAAATGACTCCATCTGTAGCTTTGTATGCATATTAAACAGAATGGGAGACAAGATGAAACCCTGTACTTTAGCTTAGGAGCTGAGTAGATGTTCCCTAGTTCAACTCATTTGAACTGGTCCTCCTGGAAGAAGTGGAATCATTGTGCCCTTGCCTCTCAGCGCCACTCCAGAACAGTACTATGGTCTGTGGTGCTGACTGGTCTTGGAGAATCATAAGGACAGCATTCCCCCCATCTCTCTCTTGGCAGGTCAACTAAGGCAATGCTGGTGCTGCACCCAGGCCTGAAACCAGATTGAAATAAGACTGTGATATACAACACACAAACTGTAGGCTGCATGCGCCCCTCTATTTTCATACCTCCCAGTGTCTCTGCCAAATTTTAAAATAACTATTTTTTGCCTTAAAATAAGACAGACAGGGAGCATACTAGTCCAATGGACTACTCTAGGCGGCCAAATAAGACAGACAGGGAGCATGCGTTTTGTGTTATGGAGAATTACAGTTCCTGATTAAAACAACTGTATTATTCCTGGGCACCTTGTTTTGAACTAGAAGTAAGTTTTCCATTTCTAAACAAACAAATAAATTAAATAGTATATTCAGTTAGTTTGTCTGTGAAGGAGGTAAAGTTAAGAGACACCGATTGGCCAGGATCCAAATCCAGTTTTCCCCACTATTTTTTCTAGTCTCACATATTACCACTGTACCAAACATTTAATATTTGATAGGCCCAAGATACACCAGACATGGATACTCACAAGACATATACCTAGTGACTGTTCCGGCAGCTGTTTTTCTCAGGGAGCTTGTATTGTATACTGTTAGCACATAGCACCACAGCACAATGATTGCTTCTCTGTGTACACGCACACACAAGCGTTGCATCCTCCTAGTGCATCCCTTTCACGGCTGACCTGGCCACCTAGTTTCCTAAGTGTCGCCAACACCGCTTCCATGGCAAGGGGGAGTTTAACCTCGAGAGAACAGCCACCATTTCTCTTCATGGGGAGAAACAAAGGGGTGAATGCCGAACCTCCATTGCTGTAGGGCTTCAACTAGCAACGTGCCCCAGCCACGGCCCGTGCAATTGGCTCTTTTCTGCACAGCCCCAAGGGGTATTCTGCATTTTGGGTCACACCAAAAAGTGACAAAAAGATGTTGGCACGGCCTGGCAGAGACCTAGATTTAAGAAACCCTGCCAACCCACCGCCTTCTTTTTACCTTACTTCTTTTCACCTCCCCTGTCCTGGCCTTGACCAAGCACACACTCCCCCCAAGAACAAACTACCTTGAACTCTTTCCTAAAAGCGCCCCGCTCCCCTTCCTAGGCGACCTCACTTCACCCCTCGAGGGGGCGGAGCTTGGAGAAAGAAGAGTCCCTCACCTGCTCAGCACCGCGACCCCGACGAAGTTCCACCGGGGAAATCCGGAAATGAACTGAACCAGCGGCCGCGCTCGAGCTGGAACACGCCTGCTGACGTCACGGGGCCGCCTAGAACCGCAAAGATGGGGGGGGGAGGCTAGAGCGGCGGAGATCCCGAAGAAGAAGTGGCGTCAGTGGTGCTTCCTTCCCCCGCAATCACAGATCCAGAGGGAGCTCCCCATAATAAATCAGGGTTGTTGTTTTTTTACCGTGGTGGTCGAGCAGTAGGGTTTTCCTTCTCTTCCCAGGACCACCAAAATGGGCTATTTATGTATTGAAAGATGTCTAAAGCTGCTTATAAAGCGAAATCCTCCCGCGAGTATCTTGGTTAGGAGGTGTAAATTTAGAAGCAGTAGCTAAGAATGGGAAGCTCTCGGTTCATTTTCCCCACGTGGCCACGAACCGAGCTGGGTTTCCCTAGGCCAGCGGGCATCTCTCGATCTAATTCATAGGGTTGTGGTGGGAACAGAGCAGGAACAGCATGAATGCTGCCTTGAGAATTGGGTATAAATATAACAACAACAAAAAAACCCAGCAGTGGGATAGGACAACACATAATAAAAACACTGATAATTTCAAAATTAATAGTTAAAATTTAGTTAGACGATAGTTCTAAGTCAGGTTTATTTCTACTGAAATGCAAAATTTTAAAATACAAAATTTTAAAACTGATTCTTAAAACATTGAAAAATGCAGTTCGTCCAGATCAAAGTAAATGGAGCAGGAGAGGACAATAATACACTACATCTATCTGTACTGGCATTTGTATGGCTGGGCGATCTTTACGTGTTTAAAAACTCCAAAGCAAATTCTCCTCGCCAGCAGATACAATAAGACCCGAGTTAAACAGGACTTAGCCGGTATCTTTTTATTGTATGACATGGAAAGACTAGCATGCCGGTGGTTCAAGTCTCGATTTCTCTACACATTTTTAAAGGCACGTCTCCCTTTTCTCCCGGGAACCCAGAAATCTGTAACGAGAGAAAGGAGACGCGCCTCTCTAACCGTTTTATATCTATGCTTAGAGCTGTCATGGGCGGAGCAAAGGGTATCTCGATCTGCTTTGTTTACGGCCTTTGGCAGATCTGGAGTTCTGAGCCGCCATTGGTGCAGGAGGGACAAACGGGAATCATGTTTCAACCCACATCTACCGAATCACTTTGAAATACAGAAAGTGGAAGTGTTGAAATTAGTGCAGGAAGCGATGTCCAAATATAAAATATCAAAAATCTTGTTCTAAAGAGATGCACTGAGGTGCTCTAAAACTAAACTGTATCATCCCTGGAACATCATGTTTGTCAGGTTTGCAAGCTGCTCTTCCCGCCTACTCTCTGGAAAGAAGGACTGTGCCCTTGAACACACCTGAAAGAAAATTTCACAGGGAAAACAAGAGGAGGGAGAAAAATCAAGATAGGGCTTGCTCTATCCGTGCATCTCCCTACTGGGGGAACCTAGCGTGTCCTGAATTTTGATGCATCATGCAGATCTTAGAATCTCACAGCATTTGTTGAGGAGGAAGGTGAAACACTTTAAATGACACCACCTAAATATGCAGTTGAAGCTGAGGATGAAAGTAAAAAGTGTAACTATGAAATTAAGAACGGATCCCCCGTTTGTTATGATTTTTATGGTTTCATATGATTTTTATGTGGGATCCTTGCAAAACCACATCAGATTACAGACCCCATCAGTGTGCACAGAATCCACAGAGAAATAATGGATTCTTTGGCACATGGCTCTTCAGTGACACAGAAACATGGATCCGAGGCACGGATCCGAATGATTTTATATGTTTCTTCAAATAAATCCTACCTAAACAACCTTCATACCATAGATCCCATTATGTCCACAGATTATAACACAGAAATCATGGGCCTTCAATGCATGGCTCTGCAGTGGCACAAAAACATGGGTCCAACATGCAGATCCTCATGGATCCACTTGATTTTTAGATAGGATCATTCTGAAACCACTGTCCAATCGCTCTGCAGTGGCACAAAAACATGGGTCCACTTGATTTTTAGATAGGATCATCCTGAAACCACTGTCCAATTATAGGCTCTTTTGTGCCCACAGATTACTGTACAGTACATCACAGAAATCATGAGTCAGCGCATGGCTCTGCAGTGATGCAAAACACAAATCCTCTTGAATCCACATGATTTCAACTCAAATTAGCATGTCCATGTTTTTGCACTATTCTGGTGCTATGAATTGAGGTACATGTGATATTTATTAAGTACAGTGGTGCCTTGCATAACGAGCGCACCATTTAACGACGAATTCGCATAGCGATCTCTTTTTTGGGATTGCTAATGCAATTGCATACCGATGGTTCCAATGGGCGAAAATCGCTTACCGATCTTCGCATTGCGATGTCGGGAAATCAGCTGTTCGGCGGTTCCAAAATGGCCACCGGAACACCCAAAATGGCCACACGCAGTGTTTTCGTGCCCTGCCCTCGCTTACCGAGGGTGTGAAAATGGGGAAACTTTGCAGAACGGTGAGTTTAAGAGCCATAGGAACGCATTAAACTAAGTTTAATGCGTTTCTATGGCGTTTTCCGTTTCGTATAGCGATGTTTCCCCATAGCGACGGTTAATCCGGAACGGATTAACCTCGCTACGCGGGGCACCACTGTACATTGGCAGAGATGTGTTCAGTGATTCTGCATGTTTGCAGGTGCTCCCTCTGAACACATAAAGAAGATCCAAGAGGAATCAAACTAATGTTTCTTCCCACTCCAGTAGTGAAGGGAAGTATAAGACCTGTGGTTTTAGTGGTTCATTCTTTGAGCATGAAGTTTACCATGAGTGCTGCATAAAGAAAATTAATCTTTGTCCAGGACCCTTGTTCATGAGTGATATACTGGAGACATCTTGTAATTTGGGATTTTGATAGTTCAGTCCACCTCCCAGGATGGGATGTATCATAGCCTATATCAGCCTCTCACCTTGGTTGGTACAGTTGGCATGAGTCTCATCACTGTAGTCCCCACAGTCACTGTCGCCATCACAGGTCCAATGCGCAGGGATACAGCGTCCACTGTTACATTTTACTGGTTGCTAGAGCAGGAATGGCTGCAGCCGGCTTCGTCACTGTTGTCTCCGCAGTCATTGTATGGAAGCAGGAAGAAAAGAAGGCGGTCAGAGACAGCTAGAGTCTAAGCCAGAGCAGATGCTAGACTGCTCTCCCCCCCCCAGCCACCTTTCCTTCCAACCCACTCCAGAGTTATATGCAGATTCCTCCAGCTGGTAGAATGCCACAGGATCTTTCAACAATAGACCCGCCATTGAATGGAAGGGTTCAGGCCTGCATTCCTGCCCCAGGAAGTTTGCTTGAATGTACCCGCCTACTCCATGCATGCTCTAGCCAGACATGCTCCCCCCCACCCACCATCATGGGAGTTCTAGCAACTAAAAAGGCAATAATAAGAATCTTAACAATAAGAATAAGGATGAAAAATTAAAGCACAGAAACTGAATAGATCACCTCATGCACCATGGGGGAAACAGGATTGAGTGAAGTGAGAGGGCAAGTATCACACCAGTGAGTTTTCCTATCAGTGGCATTTGTGCATTTCTTGGTCCCCAAATGGTTTGTAGATGTGTATGTGAACATGTACATGCATGCATGTTTGTGTGTGCATGTGTGCGTGCATGTGTTTTCATGTGTGCAGTTCTGACCACTTCTAATTCAGGATGTTGGAGCTGCTTCTGAAGTCTGCGAAGACTCCTCAGCTTTTTCATAAGACAGGCCTTTCCTCAGTGGGTTTAGCTTCAAACTGCTCAATCAAGCTACTGCTAAAGTAGTACCTCGGTTTGCGAAATGGATCCGTTCCACGCAACGTTACATTGTATGGAAAATTCGCAAGCCAGAATGCCAATTGAGCTATGAAAGGAGCGGCACTACTGTATAGGTGCAGTTTTCACCCTGAGAAAACCCTTTTATAGTGCAAAAAGAGAGAGAAAAAACACAGTAAATTGGGGCTTTATTTCTTGGTTCGTAAACTGAAAATTACGTAAACTGAGGCGTTCACAGACCGAGGTACTACTGTATTTAATCATAATTGTGTGCCGTCAAATCAATTCACATTTATGGCAAGCTGTTCCAGAGTTTTCTAAGAACAGAGTACAGTACTCTGAAGTGGTGATTCTGGGATGCTCTGAGGCTGTGAAGATTGCCCCAGGTTACACAGGTGGGCTCTTCTGGGGCATAAAGTGGAGAATCAAACTCCCAGTCTCTAGCTCCGCCAGTCACCTCTCAGTCAACTTGCAGATCAAGTTTGCCAAGTTTATTAAAAAGAAAACATAGAAAAAAAAGGGGGGGGAATAAACTGAAGATTGCAAAAGATTCAGCCAGTACCAACATCAGAGAAATAGTGCATGAAGATGACATATGAGAAACAGAAATTCCCAGCTTTCACTTACTGTAATCAAAACAAAGTCTCTTGCAACAGGCTTCCTCACAAGTTGTGGGAAATTACTACTGGCATGAAATCAACCTCCTGGCTCCCTCCATGCTCCATTGAGCTAATATAAAGATGAGCAAGCTGACAATTACAGTATCTGTAATCCTTTTTTAGCCTGGCAGAGAGTCAAGAACAAAACCAGGGCCTGTGGCATATCAGTATCTCAGTTAACTTCTTTCTTGGTAGGTTGAAATCTCTAGCTACTCATCCAAACAGCTTCTTCAGTCTGAGGAGAGTTATTACTGCTTTGTTTTCTGGATGTTTTCATAGTGACTGCTTGACACAGTGGTGCCTCGCTAGACAGTTACCCCGCATGACAGTTTTTTCGCTAGACATTGACTTTTTATGATTGCGATAGCGATTCGCAAAACAGTGATTCCTATGGCGGAATTTCGCTGGACAATGTTTGGTCCCTGCTTCGCAAACCGATTTTCGCTAGATGACGATTTGCTTTTCGCTAGACAATGACTTCGCTAAACAGTGATTTCAGTGGAATGGATTATCATTGTCTAGCGAGGCACCACTGTAATTGAAACTTCCAGAATTTTCTCTGGAATTGATGTCGGGCTGACTGGTCTGTAGTTCCCAAGTTCCTCCTTTTCGCCCTTCCTGTAGCTAGGGACATTAGCCCTCCTCCAATCCTCTGGCACCTTCTCCCCCCGTTTCCCATGATTTCAAGAAAATACTATATAAAACTGGCGCTCTCAGGTCAGTTCTGCGACCCTCTGAGGTGTGCGTACTAGCTAGGGGGAAGTACTGTATAATGTTATAAAACAGCCCGGTTTGATTTGCTTTCTTTCCAGTTTCCACTGTGACAGATGGCATGGTATCCTGTGCATTGGGATCCGGCTGCTCCTCTGAGGAACCTATTAGGGAAGAGATTCCCCTTCACCCCTTCTTCTGTCCAGTCCAGGTCACTCTCAGCAGCCGCATCAGGAAGAGTTTCGCTTTCTCGAAGGTCCAGCAGCCCCTCCAACGCCCAGTAGGTGGGGAGGACCCGCCATTCCTCCCTCTCGCCAGGGTCTCACTCTCCCCTTTGTCCTCCCAGTCCTGAGGGTTGCAAGGCTTGGAAGGGGCGGATGGCAAGAACAGAGAAGAGGGAGGGAGGCTGCAGGCTCCTGGTCTCCGAGGCACAACAAAGACCCGCCTGGAGCCTTATTCAAGGGCAGTCCGGAAAGTCTCTTCAAGGGGGAGGATGCTTCCCCTCCCTCCTCTTCAGTCTCGTCACCGGGAGGAGGGAAGGGAGGTAGGCAGAGAAGGGACTCCCTCATCGCCTTGGCCCGATGGCGGCTGCTGTGGACCGCTGCCAGCACACGCTCCCCCGGTCTCTCCTGTTGCTAAAATTAGGGGAGAGTCGGTGCCAGGCAGCCACACCTCAGCCAGAGGCCCGGCGTCAGGAAAGAGGCCCTGGGCTGGCCCTAAGCACGACAGGTGGGGTAGCCAGGTGTGCCTGCTCTCAAGCCGCAGGCCCTGGGCCAGAGCGCCCCTCGAGCTCACCCTGGCCATGACCGTGGGTGCCTAAAGGGCTGTGTTAATGGGAAGTGGAATGGCCTTCTGACTTACAGCGACCCTAATAGGCTTCAAAATCGTTTAAGGAGTGGTTTTGACCAGGTGCCTCCCCCCGCCCCCTCGTGAGTTTCCCTGGCTCAGTAGCAATTCGAACCCAGGTCTTCTAGTCCAGTGCTCTATCCAGTACTACTGCACCAATCCGAAAGGACGGACAGAATTCAAATTGCTAAGAAAAACATCATGATGAGGAACAACAGTCTGCATAAGGATTTCCTGCACAGACACCCTGATATCTTTTTTATTTTTTTGGTGGTGGTGGTGCATGGTGATCCATTTTGGTGTCATGCAAAATTTCAGTTTAGGACTCTTGATTCTGCATCTGACAATCCATGCTATGGCTTACCTGCTATCCTCTCACGCCATCTCAAGCCCTGTTTCGGTGGCAACACTTAACCTTTTCATCCCCTTTTCTAGACCTCGGGTGTCCACTGCTTGAGACAGACTCCTTCCCTTCTTGCTGATCTCTTCAAACTCCTGGGTGTCTATTCCCTGTACCTTCTTTCTGGGAAGGGTAGAGGGTGGAGTGGTCTGCATCCCTCTAGGTGTCCTGGGGAGAGACGGCACTTCTAGGAAGACCTCT